GCCTGCTGACTGATTCCTCATCTCCAGGAGCTTACCTTCACCTCAGACTTCTCTGCTCTGACGCTGCCCATGGGGGTCCATCAGCCAAGCATCCTCAGTTTTCCCGAACAGTTCTGCTTTTATTGTTTCCATATTTAACCATTCATTTGTGTGGCTATTTATGTTTGTATTTACATATTTCATATACATTGATATTAATAAAAATGAAAGGAAATTAAAAATTTTAGCCTCAAGTGTGGAATAGCCACATGTGGCTAGTGTTTACAGTTGGCCAGTGCAGACAGAAAACATTTCCATTATTGTGGAAAAATTCTATTGGACAGCTGTGATCTACACAGCCAAAAATTCCAATATATTGGCATCCAAACTGTATCGCACAGATCATTTCTTCCTAGAAGGTCCTAAAATGCCTTTGACCTTTCAAGTGAACTCATTTGAGTTCCCAAAATGTCAGGGCCTGTTTGAGTTGGAGGCTACCTGGCAAAGGATGCTTTTGAAGAAGTGTCCCCTGTAAAATTCACATTACCAAGTTGAATGCCTGCTATTCCTCCGCAGTGGGACATGTGGGACCCGGGATGTTCTAGGGTTAGGGTTAGGGTTAGGGTTAGGGTGTGTGTGGGTGATCTCCAAGACTTCATTTGCAAAGGAGGGAACTTGATGTCTCTTAGTTTCATCCAAGCCATCATCCCTGGCAGCTGAGTGTGACAGCTGGATGTGGAGTCCAGTGCTGGTGCACAGAGGAAAGGGCAGGGCTGAGAGACACACAGCTGGGGTTGGATGCTTCTAGATCTGTCCTGCCTTTGAGACTGAGGGTGGGAAATGCCTCTCAGAGCCTCCTTTCTAGGCTTCCTTTCTAGACTTCTTGGAGATGAGCCTTTGCTGCAGAAAGAAGAGAAAAGGATCTTTTTTCCCCCCTTTCCCCTGTCCAGAGAGAAGGGACGCTTTGGGGTAAGAGATTTAACCAGAAGCAGTTTCTTTTTGGAACAAGGGCAGTGCTTTATTCCCTGCCAGTTCCTGCAGGCAAACAGCATGCCAGGCTGGCCTGCCGCCCCAGCCCTACCTGTCATGTGTTTGGCAAGTCTGATTTGAGTCCTTTTTTCCACTGCCTTACCCACCCCGTCAAATTGCAGTTGCAACCTCTCATTTTTCTGCTGCCTAGATGATTAAAAAGCATGACTTAGTGGAAAAATCTTGACCTCCTTGGGGTCAGCCTCTTAGGCAGCTATTGGAGATAAGATTGTACTAGCAAAATACTCAGCTACGCTTTGCAAGCCTTTCTGTGTGGATGTAAGGAAATGAGAAGCTGTTTGGTTTTGGGTGCGTTTTGTTTGTCTTTGGAGAGAGCTACAATTTTCCGAGGCATAAATTGGTACTATCTGATAATAAAATAAAATCTCTGATGGGAGGGTTAGATTACTACAGTGATTTTTTTAAATGTCATTAGGCTTTGCAAAAAAGAAAAATTTTTTTTTGATGGTGCCTGCTTCAGGGAGCAAAGTTCTCTGGCAACTAAGTAGTATCAGAAGTTCAATGCTCAGACTTCCCCCAAGGACTTAAAAGACTTAATTGTGCAGCTTCTGGTATGAAAGGCATTGTCTGGAGTTATTTTAATTACTGTATTAGTGTTGCTGCTTCTTGCTTGGAGATTGAATACTTACCATAGTCCTATTGAAACTGCTCCAAAGAGGACATTCCAATTTGAATTTAGCATATGTCCTCAAAGCATTTTATCGTCTCTGTATTTGCCAAAGATTTGGACCCATCTAGTAAGACCAGAAGGTCACTTCAGTTCTTTTCTTTTTTTAAAATACATTTTTATTGAAATATAGTCAGTTTACAATGTTGTGTCGATTTCTGGAGTACAGCACAATGCTTCAGTCACATAGGAACATACATATATTCATTTTCATATACTTTTTCACCATAAGTTACAAGATATTGAATATAAATTCTCTGTGCTATACAGTGTAAACTTGTTTATGTTACTTTACTTCTTAAAGGGAGAAACTGAGGCACAGGGGATTGAGAGGTCTTGGTTAAGGTTATACAAGTGGCATCAAGGACATAGAATCTGGGGTCTATGGCTTGACACTATGTGTTATCAAATGAACACTTCGTTTGAAGTCCTGGAGGTCTGAGTTTGGGTCCCTGTTCAGCCACTTCCTAGCTCTGTGGCCTTGAGTAAGTCACTTGCCGTCTCTGTGCTTCAGTTTCCTCATCTATAAAATAGTCATCACACCACGACATACTTCAGAGGATTATGAAGACAGGTCCTGCTCAGCAAATGTGCCCGGCATACCTTCCATCATCATCATCATCATCCTTACTTTAACATTTTTTCCCCTATTTTTGGTTAAAGACCCATTCCCAGCTAAAAATGAAATCACATGTTCTCCACCCTTATTGTCCTCTTTTTCCTTCCTTGCTGCTTGTCTCTTTGCTCTTCCTCAGCTTGAATGATCAGAATTAGAAGCCGGCTGCCACCTTTCTCAGCTGGGGAGGCACAGGGTAGGCACGGCCCAGGGCTTGAGGTCAGAGGGTGGAGGCAGGGGCTTAGGTCTGTCCTGGGCCAGGCATCCATCTCCTCTTCCTATGTCTCAGCTCAGTCCTTAAAGATTTAGAGCAGCTGTCCAGACTGAGAAGCTCACCTTTTGGACCTGACTGCCCAGATAATCATCCTGGGGCTTGAACTGGGGCCTCCAGCAGCCAAATGGGCTGTTGTAGCCCAGGGCCTTGCCCATCCTCCCTGCTCAGGTTTCTGTGAAATGGGCATGTTGACCCAGTGGTGTCCATTCATTTCCCAGAAGTCACAGATACTGAAAACAGCAGATCTAGGCTGGAATCCTGGCTCTCCCATGTGACCCTCAGAGCCCCAGGGTCTCTCTGCCCATAGTGGGTGGTGAGGCCTATGGGAGGTGAACTCTGACAGAGCTTTGCGAAGCATAGCATGTTTTCCACTTGTAGGGTTCCCTTCACTCACGTCCAGAGCTTGTGCTTGGAAGGGCCATGTGTCCTCACCTGTAGGGAGGGGCTCCAGCTCCACATGAGAAGTGAGGAGGGGCCCAAGTAAGCCTCTTGACCCTCTCCCTCCTCAGCACAGGGGTCTGTGTGCACAGCACAGTTTGGGGCAGATCTGCAGGGCTGGCCGCAGCAGGAAGAGAAAGCCCACAGTGGGGGTCAACTTTCCCCAGGCCTCCCTTCACCCCACCAGCCTAGCCCCTCCATGCCCTGTTCTCCTCCTGGCTGCCACTACGATACTTTTTATAAGCCTTGTTAAGTCTTTAATGATGCCTGGTTGTGCAGCTGGCTTAAGACTTAATCCCCAGCAATAAGGCTTTATTGGATAAATGGTTAATAATCACTTGTCTGCGGGGATTGGGGAAGTTGTATTGAGGCCCATGATTCCCAGAAGGCCCACGTGGCCTGTGACGTGGTCAGGGACTTGCCTGGTACTGCACTGCTTGGGGTTGGGTGCAGTAAGATTGGGCACCCTCGGAATGCCCTGGAGGTTGGGAAGGCCTGAGTTTGTAGGAGAGCACTTCTGCACCCTCTGAAGACCAGAGCCAGGCACAGGGACGCCCCAGGATCTCTTCAAATGTGTGTCTCCACCCTCCCCAGTTTTTGCTCTTTTCTTTTGCTATTAACAAGCTGTGTGACCTTGAGCAAGTCTCCTGACCCCTCTGGGTCTCAGTTTCTTCATCTATTAAGTGGAGAAGTTGGAAGAGATGGCTTTGAAGGTGCCATGTGATTTCTGTGTGCCCCAGCGCCCCTCTCTCCAGCTCTCGGGCGTGTCCCTGAGGGCTGTGAGTGGTGAGGGACTAGCAGCCCATCGGATTAAGTACTTAAGCTGCTGGGCAGAGAATTGGGTCAGCTGTAGTCGCAGGGCAGTGTGCGCAAAGGGAATCTGCAGAGCCTGGATTTTATAGCCTGGTTTGGGGTTTCTCCCAGCTCTGGGCAGGGCACACAGTAGGCATTAAAAAATGCTTTGTTGACGGGACTCTAGAAAGAGAAGTAGACTCTCTCAGGTACAGAGCCAGGCGTCATTCAACATGTAGAAAAGGAGTCTGGGGTTGTGTTCCCAGCTTGCCTGTTTCTGGGGCCCCTCCCTCAACCCTGAGTTGGCCTTGACTTTACAGTTGCAGTGAGATCAGAGCCCATCTCCTTGAGGGGGCAGGTGGTATTGGGGCATAGGCTTGGGAGTCAAATTAAACCTGGGTTTGAATCTCATCCCACCACTGCTCATTTCCAGGCTGAGTGGTTTGTGCAACCTCCTTCTCCAAGAATCTCCCAGGATTCTTTCTAGTAGCATTAGCAGCACCTACATTTCAGCATGACTGTGTTGGGTCCAAATTATACATGTAAAGCACCTGGTAGCTGGCTCATACCAGATGCCAATAATTATCCTGGGAGGAATTTAATGTTTGGCACTTGTTGTATGCATTGGCTTTCTTGAGTAAAATGCTTGCTGCAAATGGAGATGTGACTTACTGTGGAATGATGTGATTTTGAGTTATTTTATCTGAAAACAAAACAAAAAATACAGACACTGCTGGGAAAAGTTTCAGCTTCAGGGCTAGTCTGCTAAGGGATGGTTTCCTCTGTTGCCCCAGAATCTGCTCCCTGGCTCCTGCCTATATCCTGGCTCTGTCCAGTATCCTGAGGGCTTAGCACGGTCCCTGGTGCACAGCGGGGGCTCCATCCTGCCCGTGTAGGTGACCGGGTTCTCTCTCCACTTTCATTTTAGATCTTCCCGGATCCGTCAGACTTCGACCGCTGCTGCAAACTGAAGGACCGTCTGCCCTCTATCGTGGTGGAGCCCACAGAGGGGGAGGTGGAGAGCGGGGAGCTCCGGTGGCCCCCGGAGGAGTTCTTGGTCCAGGAGGATGAGCAGGATAACTGTGAAGAGACAGCGAATGAAAACAAGGAGCAGTAAAGTCCGGCCGGCGCCCCCGGGTCACACCAGCCAGCGTCTGTACCTGAACTGTGTTCTTTCCCACTGCGACGGAAGGAGAACGTGCGCCACACTAGTTCTGCAAACGGCCAGCGATGGCTTCCGTTTTGCACCTGCAGATCACTGAGTTGGTTTTCTTTTCTTTTCTTTTCCTTTTTTGAGATGTTGGGCAGCAGAGCCCTCTGCGACGACGTGCCAGGCCTTCTGAGAAAGGAAGCTGCTTAGAGCCAGGGTGGGGGTGCGGCGAGGCGGTGCATCTTTGAGATCTTTATCTGAACCCAAGCAGGCTGGGGGCAGTGGTGGGATTCCAGTGGGCTCTGGGCTTGGGGGGGGGGTGGGATGGGGGAGGTGCAAAGCCAGCAAGGAACATCCAGGGGTAAGAAAACGAATAGGAGACAGAAGAGAAAATACATGCTGTAAAGAAAACATAGAGCAGAGAAGTCCCGACCCCGCAGCCTTTCACCCTAGCTGCGGGGACTTCTCGCTCCAGTTTCACCCACTGTCAGCCTTCGCTTTTATTTTGGGTGTGCTGGTCTGCTATGGGGAGGCAGGTAAGGAGCAGAAGAACCTGGCTGCCTGCAAAGCCAGCTGGAGGTCATGCTGGGAAAGAAAAAAGGTCTCCTATTTCCTTCCCCACGCCCCTCCCCTCAGGCCCTGGCAGGTGCACTTGCCTGCTGTAAGCCGGAGAGTTTTTTAAGAGGCCGCACCTTTGAGCTCTCCCCTGATTTCATCCTTTTTGCCCCCCAGCCCTTTGGAAGTAGTGAGAGCCCTTCCCACCCTTGTTGGAAGACCGAGGTAGATGCTTCAACACCAAGGCCTCTTTCCAGCGGCTCCCCCTAGACTTGCTCTCTCCCTGAGCTGAGGCCCAGAGCGGTGGGCTCTCCCAGGCAGGCCCTTCCCTCTCCTGCCCTCCACCCTCCTCAGCCCCAGCCCCAGCAGTCAGGCCCATGTGGCTGCCAGCCCTGCGGCAGATTCCAGCCAGCCTGACCAGCCACAGCACCCACTCCCCTGTGGGATTTTGGCCTTTTTCTGGTGGGAGCTGAGTGGTAAGCAGAAGAGGCTTTTTCTGTTTCTTGTTGGGGGCAGAATCTTTCATGCAGGTCCCAAGAGCTGGCAAAGCCTGGGAATTATTGGATGGCAGTGACTGGCTCTCATGTATTCACCTGGAACTAAAGGGTGTTGTGAAATCCCTGGCTTCTTCCATGGTATTCCTGGGTGTGGGAGGAGGGTGGCGTGGGGGACACCTCCTACTTGTCCCTGGCAAGGGCACAGTTGCATGAGAAAGCTAGCTTGGACTTAGAGCTTCTTATCATAGTTAAGAACCACCTGGAGCTGCAAAGATTGCAGAACAAACTCTTCAAACCATCTCTGTCTCACAGCAGGACGGTGCAGCCAAGAGGTGAGTTCAAGACCCTCCCTGGGACTGAACTCGGCCAACCAAGACACCCACCATGTCCCCTCAGGTCTCCAGTCAGTCCAGGTCGACCCCGGCCAGGACTTGCTTGTTGGGTTGTATTTAATACCTCCAGGTTAGTGTGGGTCTGGAGAACGCTGGGGCAGGAGGACATGTCAGCGGGGCTTGGTTCTGGGAAGCCACTGCTCACCCCTTCACCCCTCGGCCCCCACCCTCTGTGTTGCCTGCTTGTGTTGCACACACCGATGGCAATAACTTCTTCCAGCTCCTCGAGCAAGTGGGAGAGGCCTGCAGCCTGCCCTGCGAGGGGATTTCTCTCTCTCTCTCTCCCTCTCCTCCCGTTTGGGCTGCAGAAAGCGTTTCCTCGCTACTCGCATTCTCTCCCAGCAGCAGTTCTCATCCCTTGTCTCCCTTTGTGGATGGGGTCTTGCCTTTGAAAATCCCGTGTTTCTGTGTCCTCCTCTCATCTGCTCCCCTGTATCATCTGTCCCGGTCTTGCTGTGTGATGGTAACGTGCTTGTAAACTGCATAACAAATCTACTTTGTGTATATGTGTGTTTATGGGGATGGTTCATTATTTTTGCTGGTCGCTAGACCCCTTTGTATGACCATGTGGAGTCTGAGCAGGCCAGGGGCTGACAGCTCAAGTCAGGACCCTCAGCAGTGAGCTTGCTGGGGGGACCCAGCTGCTCTTGGACAAGTAGCTGAGCTCCTGTCTGGCCTCCTCTTTTTTTTTTTTTTTTTTTAGTAACTTGTGTGTATTTCTAACTGATCATATTGGAAAAAAAACAAAAAACAACCAACCCTAGTATTTCAGTAAAAATGCCTGTTGTAAGATGAACCTCCTGTAACTTCTATCTGTTCTTTTTTGAGGCTCAGGGAGAAACTAGCATTTTTTTTTCCAAACTACTTTTTGTCACTGTGACAGTTGTAAATAAAGTTTGAAAATGCTTTCCACTCTGGTCTGGTTTCCTTCTTCCTTCCTGCTCTGTTGAAACAAACAAAGCACAGAAGCTGCTCTCGCAGGAGGCTGAGTTCGGGGAAGCCCCATGTGAGGGTCCTTACATATCTTACCTGCTAGTCCTTCTGGGGTCAGCCTGTTCATGGTTTTTATTAGCTGGTTGAATGAAAGCAGCTTTTCCTTCTACGCCAGCAATTCTCAACTCTGGATGCACATCAGGGTTACCAGGAGAGCTTTAAAAAATATACAAATACCTGAGTCTTACCCCCAGAGACTTGAATTTCAGTGGGCTAGAGTGAGGTCCAAGCATTAGTATTTTTCAGAATCACCTGGGGAGAGTTTAACATACACACTTTTCTAAGGGAAGAGAAAGACCCCAGATAATAATGTAAAGTTGTTCACAAAGACTGGGAGTTAATGAGCGTGCATAGAGCTCAAGAGAGCTCCAGGAGGTATTCAAACCATTGACTGAGTGCCTAGCACTTCTCAGGCATTGTTAAGAGGTTGGGGTAAACAAAATAGTTGTGGTCCCAGTCCTCACTGCACTGCTCTAGTGTAAAATTAAAGTGAGTGCAAGGCAGGAAAAGCAGGTGCTCTTAGATTGAGTATCTGTTGGAAGGGTCAGGAAGGGCATCTGAAGAAGTGACAAGGAGATGAAGGAAGGGGAGGAGGTGCATGGAGAGAGTGCTTCTGGCAGAGAAGTCTTGGGATGAGCTTGACTAGAGGGAAGAGGGGAGGAGGAACAGTGCAAGGAGGGCTCCTTGGGCCTGGGTGAGGAGTTTGGATTTTATTCCAAGTGCAGGGCCTAGAAGGGTATTATTTACATTTTTACCCAATCTGACCCTGGAGATGGGGTTGGAGGGGGCAAGGTGGAAGTCCTGGAGACCAGGAAAGGGGCTTCACCGAGGTCAGAGTGAGAGCAGGTGGTGCTTTGTGGAAAAGGTTTTTGGACATTTTTTGAACCTGATGCTGGATACTTTTGCCTTCACTCGGCCCACATGTAGGCTCCTAACCATGGTGAATATAGACCATCAAATGATCTGTGCTGAGAGTGCCCACCCCCTGGAATTATGGCATCTCAATCCATTTTAGCATTAGCCTAAGTCAGACCACTCGTATGGATCTGCTGCCCTGATGATAACGTTCAGGCCCTGGCTGTCCTCATCTTGGATTGTCCCTCTGTGTTCCCCCAACAGCCGGAGGATGGAGATGATTAGGACACAGCCTCCTGGAACATAGCCCCACAGAATACTATATTCACAGATGACATCATCTATGTAGAAAAATCCTATGAAATCTACCCAAAAAAGCTACTAGAACTGACACGTGGGTTCCGCATGGTTGCAGGATCTAAGATCAATATTCAAAAACTCACTGTATTTCTATATACCAGCAAAGAACAACTGGAAATTGAAATTTAAAATACCACTTACGTTAGAATCAAAAAATACTAACTATAGGGATAAATCTGACAAAAGATGTGTAAAACCTGTTCAATAAAAAATTACAAAACACTACTGAGAAATGAAATGACCTACATAATCCGAGAGGTATGTTCATGGATCTGATGACACAATGTTGTCAAGATGTCAGTTCTCTCCAAATTAATCTATAGATTCAACACAATCAAAATCTTAGCAAGCTTTTTATTTTTGCAGAAATTGACAATCTGATTCTAAAGTTCATACGGAAATACTAAGGACTAGGCTATCCAAAACAACTCTGAAAAAGAACAAAGTTAGAGAACCCAAATCTCAAATTCAAACCTTATTACAAAGTTACAGCAATCAAAACATTTAGTATTGGCATCAAGATAGACAAATAGATCCATGGAACAGAATAGAGAGTCCAGAAATAGATCCCAAATACATGGTTGCTCAATTTTTGACAAAGGTACCAAGGCAACTCAGTGGAGAAAGGACAGTATTTTCAACAAATGACTCTAGAACACCTGTATATCCATATGCAAATATCCCCCAGGGTTGGAAACATGAATCTTTATTTCTGTCTTTCATTGTCTCCATGTGACATTCTGAGTAGAATAATTATTCATTTAGGACCAAAAAATAATCCTTTTTCATGTTTGGCCGGTCACTTCAAAGCTGTCCCCACTCTACTCCATGCCACTTCCCCTGTCCCTAAAGGAGGAATATTGGTGACAACTGATGAACTGTGCTGTTTTATTTAAGTCCTTCTCAGCCCCTCCATGTGTTGGTCAGGGTTATCCAGGATCCTCAGTGTTCTTTTCTAGTACTTTTTGCAGAGGGATGTGAAGATTGAGCTGTCCGTAGGCACTCCACAAGTCAAGGTTTTTTACTTCTTCCCCTTAGAGATCTGGTAGCTAAGGAACTGGCCCCTGCCTTCTCTCCCCTGCTTTTTGTTCTGGATCCTGTGTGCACATGAGTCAAGGAGAGCTTCAAGGTGAGGACACCCACAAATGCACCTGCCTTCATCTGCCCGTTTTGTTCATCACCATGAGGGAGAAAAAGGGAAATTTAATGCCTTCTGTCCACAAAAATATTGGAGAGGGAAGAAGGGGACATCTCCTATCAAGCTAGACCTGAGGTCTGGCTCTCCTTGGGCAGAGACCTGTTTGAAGTGACAGTTGGGTTTTGTGTAAAGTGTGGAGAGATTGCAGGTGTGAGGGACAGCAAGTGCAAAGGCCCCATGGTAAACATCGGCTTGACTTTTTTGAGGAATGTCTGTGAAGCCAGCATGGCCAGAGTAGAGGGAAAGAGAAGTAGCTGAGATCAGATACCATGTCAGATATCAACAGTTTAGAGTTACTATTACCCATTGTGAGAAGCCCCCTGGGGAAGGAAGCAGGCTTACCAGGCATCCCAGCCCCTGGAAATCCACTGGTCGGCCCAACCAAAGTTGTCTGACCAGCGGCAAATGGCAGTCAGTATTGACAGACCTGAGGCAATACCACATCCTGGAGGGGCTTCTGGATCATCAAAGGAGAATTAAATTAAATAGAATTTGGTTTGTACATCTGTCCTTCAATTACTGACAGGTGCTTATAGCTAAGAGAATGGGCTCTGAGATCAGGCTCCTGGATCAGTAGCTCAGCCCT